GCAAACACATGTAATATATATGCGGTAAAGACAGAGTGATGCAAATACTAATGGTGTTCTGTTCTACAGGGGCTAGGAAGTAGAAATTTGCCACGAATATTGTCAACGAGGCTATGCTTATAACCTAACAAATTTCACAAGCTACATGATCCAATTTGGATCAACCATAGTTCAAAATTGCATTCTCCTGCTAAGCACTTACAAATATGATTCCCTTCTAGATTTAAAGCTTTCGTGACTGCAAGGATCCATACTCTTTGGTTCTATTCGGTAAAGTCACGTAGGTAATAAATAAATAAATAATCGCGACGTTTCGGCCGCTTGTGTTGTGGCCGAAACGTCGTTATTTTTGTTGTTTTATTTTTTACCTACGTGACTTTACCGAATAGAACCAAAGAGTAAATATGATTCCCACCATCAGCGAAACCAAGTAATTCACCTTCCGTGGAGTGAGATACTCACGCCGGAAAGCCCCTTAAAATTCCTCTTTTGTACGATTGCACTGTACATCCACACACTCCGCTAGGCACGGAACAGGACACGGCAGTTAACCTCAAACAATGGCATCACAATTCAAACCAAATGATTTCCCAGAGCTCCTGCCGGAAGGGTCCGTCGCTCATCAATGCCCGTCCCGAAGCGGGTTCAGCATTCCCTGTCTCACAGATACTTGACACGCAACAAGGCAGCAATCCGCACACATTCACGCTGGAGTTCAACAGCTGACAAGTCACCGCTGAACAAATACAAGAGACATTAATACACTGCGCACGGCTTGTAAGTGGGCAGTTTTGTTGAAGGGCAGTAACACTGCTGCAGACAACCAAGACAAAGCTCGCCCTGTGTAGCCACGCACACACTTGGGGCAAAACGTTGTAAGAGAGCAACCATTAAGGCTGGCACAGCACGCACGTGGGTGGATGGGTTGGTAGTGGTGTGGTCAGAACCACTTTTAACCCACCTTTCTCTCCCCAGTGCTCATGTTTACACGGTGCATTAGCTGCTCATGTGCGGCTACTTGTTTTTTTTTGGACCTCGGAGAGGACCAAGATAAATTTAGATGCCGTTTTCCACCGATGCTTTAGATGCAATTGGCCACTGATGGCAGGGAATTAGACCTCTACAATGCCTTGGCTTCGCTTTTTGCAGCGAGCTCACCGCTGCAACAACCACTACTCCAACTACTCCAGCCGCAAACGCGTAAAGGCAAAAAAAAGTTGGCAACCACTCGCATACAGTAAAGTTTGTTTTTTGCCGCCTCAGTGAATTCTGATACTAAAAATAGATAAGAGTGTTTATTAAGTGGTTTAAAGGAAATAACATTGTGTCCATCTGGCTTTGGGGGGGGGGGGCCTCAGAATAATACGGTTTGTCGGAGCAAGGTAAACATTAGAGGCAAGCTCCACACGGTCACTGCGAGTGCATTTCACGCGTGTCTTTAGGGGCTCGTCTGGAGAATTCACAAGAAATTCGTAATAAAAGCCACATGCAACCACACTGCATTATGTAAGTGTCTATGCGACCGACTGTGGGACCCATCCAGGTCTCCATTATGGAAAGGTAATGAGCCTCAATGGTCTCTGGTCCGGTTAAATAAGGCCTGTTGAATATCATGGCAAGTAAAGAATTTTGCCCGTGATAAAAATAGTGTTGGGCAGAGCTCAACTACTGGGCCAGTGGTGGAGATTCGACATTCTTATGGCAAGGGAACAGTCGATAAACGTACAAAAATAGACGCTGTGTGTTTGCACATTAAACAGGGTGGGTAATAAGTCCCTGTACATGAAACCATATTATTAATCTCGTGAAGGTAAAGAGCATGGAAGACTTCCTTCTCAATACCGTATATATACATCACAATGACAACCCGTATATACTGTCCACAGTACTTCTCAAAACTACAAATTCACAGAGGATGAAGGCAAAGAGTGGTATTCATCTCAGAAGAGTAAAATAAAAATGTCAACTCAGATGGCTGGGACATATCGGATCGTGTTAGTGGTACCCATCTCAGACCAGCCGAGAGCAACGTAGACTCAGATGGACAGGGGGATCTGTCGCAAGGAGAGAGGAACCACAGCTGACGATAAAGGTGATGAACATGGGATCACCAGGGTGGAGATGGAGAGGTAGGCTGAAGTGAGAGGCGCTTTCCAAGTGGTGAAACAGGACATGAAAGACGGTGGAGTGGATGTTGAGATGATAGCCCTGGACAGGAGTGGACAGAGAGGGGGCCAGGATGGCAGACCACCACCACGTGAGTGGGGAAAAAATATAAGCAAGAGGATTTTACAAATTCGGAATGTTCCACCTGTAGTTAAATGCAAATGCTGTGTAATTATGGAACATTCGCCATCATAATGACAACCCTGGCATACCCTGCATGAGTGGGGAAAAAATGCCAGGAAGAGGATATTAGAAATTCAGATTATTTTTTTTTACCTGTCGTTAAATACAAATGCAGTATGAATATAGAACATTCACCATCACACTGACAACCCTGATTTGAACCTGATGACAGGTAATTAAGGCAGCAGGCGGCCAATATGCACACGCACACGTAAATAATAATGCAGTAAAATCCATACATGACCCAGCCATTGTGGCCCACAAAGACAAAATGCGAGCCAGCCACTGTGTGTTAAAGTCCATTGTGCGCATTCCATTGTGTGCATGTCATTGCAGTGCATGACCTGTGTCGCGATGACATAGGCTGCGTCGGGTGGTGGCGAGTTAAACGACACATTTATATTTACGCGATCTAACCCAAGAAAACCTCTATGATGTATAACATTGGGCGTTAAAGCCTACGTGTTAAATTGCATAGTGTACATAGTGTCATGTTGCAGTATGCATGTGCATTATCGTTAATGATATGCATTATTGTGTCGACTATACACACCAGTGTGTATGTTCTCGCATGTATACACGTGTGTGTGTGTGTTTATATGATTCCCACCATCATGTATCGCATCATGCGTCGTGTATTTAAGTATGTGTCTGTGCACCATACCGTCAAGGCCCTCATCAGTGCCCTACCTTATCACAGACCAATTCAGACATTATTGATCACCTTTATAAATATCAACGTTCATCCTACAAAGTCCCATCGCAAGGGAGAAACACAAACAATATCATTGCTTTGCCCGTATTGAAACGGCTGTACCCCTTATGGACCCGAAAACTAAATTTCCCTGTACAAGCATACGGGGTAAACCGCATGTGGTGACAGCTGTGGTGCACGTGTGTGCACATGCATGATTGTGTGTCACCATGAATTCAGGCCTCGTCTGTAATGCTGTATCATCATCACACGTGATACCAGTGTGAATGCCAAATACATATGGTTTCATATAATACTGTGTATGAATTGTACGCCTGTATGGTGTTTACATGTATAATGGATGTATCTCTGTGTGTGTGTGAGTGTGTTTCACCATTGCTCCCAATCTCGTATCCATCAAACACGTGTTACTGTACCGGTGTACGCCTCAATAAAGCATTGTATGTGGGGTAGCATGTGTATGTACACGACATGTATGAGCTTGTAATGTACGTGTGTGTGTGTTGTGTATCGGTGTGTGTTGTGTGTCAGTGTGTGTGTTGTTGTGTGTGTGGATGTGTGTCACTGTCTGTGCTGTGTGTGGGTGTACTGTGTCGGTGTCTGTGGATGTGTGTTGTGTCGGTCGCTATGCACTGCTGTGTCGGTGTGTGGATGTGTGTCACTGTCTGTGCTCTGCGTGGGTGTGTCTGTGCTGTGTCGGTGTCTGTGCTGTGTCTGTGCTGTGTCAGTGTCTGTGTGTGTAGTGCGTCGGTCGATGTGCTGTGGGGTGTGTGTGTGCTGTATGTGGTGTGTGTGCTGTGTGTGTACTGTATGTGGTGTGTGTGTACTGTATGTGGTGTGTGTGTGCTGTATGTGGTGTGTGTGATGTGTGTGGTGTGTGTGTGTGCTGTATGTGGTGTGTGTGTGCTGTATGTGGTGTGTGTGTGTGCTGTGTGTGGTGTGTGTGTGCTATATGTGGTGTGTGTACTGTATGTGGTGTGTGTGTGCTGTATGTGGTGTGTGTGTGCTGTATGTGGTGTGTGTGTGCTGTATGTGGTGTGTGTGTGCTGTACGTGGTGTGTGTGCTGTATGTGGTGTGTGTGTGCTGTATGTGGTGTGTGTGCTGTATGTGGTGTGCTGTATGTGGTATGTGTGTGTGGTGTGCTCTGTCGGTGTGTGTGCTGTGTGTGTGTGCTGTATGTGGTGTGCTGTGTCGGTGTGTGCTGTATGTGGTGTGTGTGTGCTGTATGTGGTGTGTGTGCTGTGTGGTGTGCTGTGTGTGGTGTGCTGTGTGTGGTGTGTGTGTGCTGTATGTGGTGTGTGTGTGCTGTGTTGTGTGTGGTGTGCTGTGTGTGGTGTGCTGTGTGCTGTATGTGGTGTGCTGTATGTGGTGTGCTGTGTGTGGTGTGCTGTGTGCTGTGTGTGGTGTGTGTGCTGTGTGTGGTGTGCTGTATGTGGTGTGTGTGCTATGTGGTGTGTGTGTGGTGTGCTGTGTGTGGTGTGCTGTATGTGGGTTGCTGTGTGTGGTGTGCTGTATGTGGTGTGCTGTATGTGGTGTGCTGTATGTGGTGTGTGGTGTTCTGTGTGTGGTGTGTGTGTGCTGTATGTGGTGTGTGTGCTGTATGTGGTGTGTGTGCTGTATGTGGTGTGCTGTATGTAGTGTGTGTGGTGTGCTGTGTTGGTGTGTGTGCTGTGTGGTGTGCTGTGTGTGTGGTGTGTGTGTGCTGTATGTGGTGTGTGTGCTGTATGTGGTGTGTGTGTGCTGTATGTGGTGTGCTGTATGTAGTGTGTGTGTGTGGTGTGCTGTGTTGGTGTGTGTGGTGTGCTGTATGTCGTGTGCTGTATGTGGTGTGTGGTGTGCTGTATGTGGTGTGCTGTGTGTGGTGTGCTGTGTGTGTGCTGTATGTGGTGTGCTGTGTGTGGTGTGCTGTGTGTGGTGTCGGTGTGTCTGCGTCACCCTTGCTGCCGGCCTCGTCGTATTCCACAACGACAAAGTAGTCGGCGAGTCTCGCCATAAGCTCGTCCTCCCCGTGGGCTCTCTCTCTCCTCCTCGTCGTCGTCTTCGTCTCTCTCTCTCCTCGTCGCGGGGCTCATCGCCCGGCCGGCGATGATGTTGATGAGGAGGAAGGAGAGGACGAGGAGGAGGCGGCGGCGGCGATGAGCGGTGGAGGAGGATGAGAGGGGAGCGGAGCGGACATGGCGAGGGTTGACTGGGAGCGAGCGAGGGAGCGAGCGCCTCCAGTGGCCGCCACGCAAAGGCAAAGGTCCCCCGTGTAGCCCACCGCAGCACTGGTGGTGGTGGTGGGGGGAGGGGGGCAAGTGCAGTTCGGACGGCGCCGATTGCAGCTGCTGCGTTAAAATCGGCACCGCGCATCAGCCAAAGGGGGGTGGGGCCAACACCACGCCCGGCCGCCTTTGTCTTCCCCGGTGCTGGTTGGGTTTATTTACGCGCCGCACCGGGTACTTTTTTTTATTTCAGTTTCTTTATTTTGGTATAGCCCTGTGAGCCATTCGGCTCTTGAATCGGGTGCAACCACAACAAACAAAAAAACAAAAACACGAACAAGAACAAGAAAAACATCTTAAAGTGACTATGTGAGTGTGCGAACAGAAAATCCATGAAAAAAACAGCAAAAAATATTCCTGAAAAAAAGCACCATACCCGTTCAGTGCCCCTACCTTATATTACAGACCAATTGAGACCTTATTGGTCACCCCGTGCACTTATAAATCTAAAAAATTCATCCTACAAAGTCCCATCGCAAGGGAGAATAACAAACAAAATAATAAAGAATTAAAGCTTTCGTGACTGCATAAATTACTCATTGTTTTTTTTTCGGTAAAGTCACGTATGTAGAAATACCATAAAATTATATTAAAATTAAATAAATAAATCGCGACGTTTCGACCGCAACACAAGCGATCTTCATCTGGTGTAACAAAAACAAATAGCACATAGGGTGACATCAACGCAACACAGAGAGAGCGTTAAACTGCACGGAGGTAAATCCAACAAGAAGATGAGAGACGAGAATTCAACAAACCTAAGAAAAATTTCCGTGATGCAAAACCAGTCGGCCAAAATAGCCAACATTTTTTGTTGTTGCCCTTTTTGAAACGGCTGTAACGCCTTACGGACCTGAAAACGTAATTTCCCAGTACAAGAATACGCGCTAAACCGTATGGGCTGACATCTGTGTGTAAGTTGACCTCGGGAGGGCCTGGAACCGGTTCAGATATTCGCCACTGATGTTGGTCGTGGGTGGAGAATAGAACTCGGGTAGCGCGGTTTTGCAGGGCGCTGCGCCAACCACTGCACCACCGCTCCCCGTGAATACTCACAAAGCCAAAGTCCCCCCCCCCACCGTAGCCTTAACAGACTGTTGGGACAAGCGCTGTTAGCGAGCACCTAGATGAAGGCCGGCACGGCACTCGAGGTGATGGGTGGCCAGCACCACGCCCGACTGCCTTTGTCTCCCCAGTGGCGATGTTTAATACACACCGCACCAGCCACTCATTTGAGACTGAGTCGACCGAGAAAGAGGACCCTGGACCGATTCAGACAACCGTCACCGGTGTTGGCCGTGAACGGGAATCGAACTCGCGCGGCCGGGTTCGTAGCGCACCATGATACCCGTACACACGGGGCTTTCATTTTTGGCCGGAGCATTCCCAGGACAGAGCTCAGGAAAATGCAGGGTGCTTCAAAAAAATGTTAACACTTCTGAAAATTTGCAACGACACCACAAGAAAGGTGCTGCTGCCTTTGAGGGCTCTGAAGACCACCTGGAGAAGATTCCAGGCACGCGTTGACAACGATGGTGAACAAGTGGAGACTCTTTGACTTTCTGCAAGCTTTTAAAATACATTTGTTATCATGTTACAGTGTATTATCCGTTCTTTTTCCGTTAAAAATGATAGTCGCATAAAAAGTGTTAACATGTTTTTGAAGCACGCTGTATTTCTACCCCTTCTCATCTGTCTATAGTGGGGGGCGGGGGATGGACGGATGTTCGGAGATTTTGTCGGTCCTAGATAATAAGTACCGTCCATTATTCTAAAGAGGGGTTGTTGTTCTTTTTACATGTTTATTTTTATATTATTATCTTGTTGGGGCATTAACATGCATGAGTTTATGCGTGGACAAGTCTTGTTAAGATGATGGCCATGAATCATATATTGGCGAATGTCCCATTTTTTAGGCCAATATCTGACAAAAACGACCCAATGCCTCTCTCCATCGTCATGATGACATGTTTCGGCTATTTCGTAATACAATATGTGAACCAGGCTTCTTCAGAAACTGAGGGGAATGTCAATACAGTTGATAATCCAGGCATGGAAGATTGTCTTCTGACAATAACAACGATTTCTGGGACTGTTGACATTTCATGTTCCACACGGGTGCCTCGACTTTTGGCCATCATCCAGGAGCACAGTCATACTCTCTGTGGCTATTACAAATACAATTATTTAAATATTCTCACCAAGTTTGTGACATTCGGTCCATCGTTTTTCAGAACATTGGTACCATCCACCAGGGAAAAATCGAGTTAAATGGTGGTCTCCGCTTCATGGGAAAGTAAATACATTCTACAGTACTGACAAAGCTCACCTATAGGTGTGTGTGTAATTCCAGAGAGGGCTCTTTGAATATAGTAGGAACATGACTACTCTTTTGTGATATTTGCATGTTTATTTTGTAACCGTATGTATGTTGAACTTCTTTCGCCCTTGTATACAGAAAATCATATAAATTAGCCACTGTGGAGATGATGTGATGCATCGCGTCAGTTCATGAGCAAGACCGATTGTAGCATCACAGAACCGTGAGGATGGTGATGGCGCACAGTGAGGAAGTCTTTAACCTAAAGTAGTCAGAGATCATGGCTGATGCTGATGATACAATTGTTTGTCTGTATCCTAGTTTATTATGTGAAATTAGGACGCACCATCACCGGGCATTATCACACAAATAAAATTGAAGAATTCAATCCAACGAAACGGTAGAAATGAGGTGACTACAAGCCCTGAGTTGTGATGGCTACAATTAATCATGGCCGATATTAATTAATTGGTCAATCGACCCCATTCTCTTCACGCTTGGCTTACATTTATTTGACGTGTGTCCACAGCCAAAGTACCACTTGTGGGGGAAGTAATAGCTGAGTGATAATTAATTGATGATGTGTGTAGTAAACAAGAGGTTGAGAAGTACAACAAATAGTTCTCTCTGGCAAGAATTCAAATCTTAGCAAATCTATGGATCACGTGCATTGTACCTCAAGGGAAAATGAACATAAAGAAAACAGCTCCATATCAGAACAAATATTTTTCAACCCACCGTGGTGTGTGTATCTTTGCGTATATGTTAATGCCTACTTACCCTCTACACCAATTTAAGCAGTGGAGTGCAGATGTTTAAATCCTTTCACCAAATACAAAAAAAATATTTCTAAAATTTACCCGGATAGTTTCAATTCCGTTAGCAATCTGGATGAGGCCTTCCCCTGCTGTGCCAGTCATGGGTGTTGTTTACCCATATTCCACCACAATAGTCACTGCAGATGGTAGAATACTTGGTCAGATATCAGTGATGTTAGCCATGACCAGGAATCACACTCATGTCACCAAGTTTATAAAGCGGTGTGCTAACCGCTGTAACCGCCCCCTCGGATTAAAATTGGCTTAAAACGAGTACCGAGTGTGACCATTAGCGGTGGGTAGACAAAAGCAACCAGATGCTGACGTTATGATTGCTAACAGCACATTCCCCAAAAGTCTGCATGGCCTTAACAAGATATTTGTCAGCATCTGCGGGGTTCCGTGTGCCTCTGTGCTGCTCTGTGTGTGGTCGTACCAGTCGCTGTTGCTTCTGGAGGCACTCAATAGGCTTGGGTTTCTGTCCCGTGGCTCCTGCAGATGGGGATTTGGCCAGGGGACATAATCACAGCCTTCCCCCTCAGGGTCTCCGTTGCACATTCGGCTTGTCGTACACGGCTTTATTGGCAAGCCTGCATTTGCGAGCTCGTCAGGCAGGCGAGGCTGCGGTTGGCTGGACTACATGGCCCGGATTATGTGGCCAGCGTGCCCCGCTATCACATGCCACAGCAGCTGTCACTTCTGGGGACCAAGCATCTACTGGCACAGAGCTGGGGTGGAGCTATGCACCAAAATCCGTGATGCATGTTGATGTGCCAATACCATCCATATTGCGATTGCACAATGACCATTTTAATTTATGCAATCTCCATGGTGGAGGTAGTGGTGGAGATGGGGTATGTGTATGCTGAAGGCGATGGTTATAGTGATGGTCGTGATGATGGAATGATGGCGGTGTTGATAGCGGTAGTTATGATGTAATGGTGCCGGTGATGATGGTAGTGTTCATGATTGTGGTAATGGTGGTGGCCGTGGTGATGGTAGAGTTGTAGTGGTGACAGTGCTGTTTGTGTTATTGATTGTGATGTTGACGGTGATGGTGGTGGCGGTTGAGAAACTGTTGTCGCACCCTATGCGCTTTTGCACTGTGTTGTTCGTGCCCTGGCAGAATGGATATATTTTACAGGAAGCCTTGCAACAGACGGTCAGGACCGCCAGTGTCAGGATCAGCATCTGTGGAGGAAGCTAAAAAATGATGCCACTGGCCAGCTGGCGGTGGCTCCCTTCCACCAACAACAGGAGGCAGAGCAGCATCACTTGCAACAGCAAGCAAATGGCGGAAAGTAGAGGTGACAGGAAATGTATTTGGCACCAATAACTATCGCCTGCAAAGCAATGTCTACTTATGTCCCATGATGTCCTGTCACAGTGTGCTTTTACCGGATACGATGGTGACATCACCGAGACCATGGCCAATAAAGATCAAACGACCGCTGCACTCTTCTGAGACTTTGGCAGTGCCCATCTCTTTCAGTGGTCTTGGGTCAGAGGTCAAAGCTCCACATTCCTCTGGCGGGAATCAGTCTATCCGCAGAATAGACCCACTGTTGACTTCTTGAAGGCACTGAAGCATGTGGCTTTACCCATTCTAATTAGTATTCTCAGATTTTTGGTTCTTTCGGTAAAGTCACATAGAAGGGAAACAATAAAATAATAAAAATCTAAAACAATTAAATTCTCACGACGTTTCGACTG